CCCAGCTTCTTGTTTTGTTTTGTTTTGATATGCCCAAATAGGCTGTTCATGTGAGCTAGTTTGATTATTGGCATCTTTGAAGCTCTAATTTCCTGTCACCAGGTGGTTAGATCTGTTACTAGGTATGTGAGCCCAAGAGTCTATTTCTTTTCTTGCATGGATTCAGATCAAGTGTCCAGGTAGCTGGTCAACAAGTGTGTGGTGCAGGCTGTCACCTGCAGTCCTAGACATGCAGGAGTGATTGGTGTAGGCACAGGTACCTGGCTGCAGTAGGGGGTCACGCACTGAGCAAGGCAGGGGGCTGACGTCTGCCCCTGAGTGTCTGGGAGGAAAGCATAACCCTGTTCCCTAGAGCATATAAGGTGGGTGGGTTTTGCAGCTGGACTATGAGCACCCAGTGCTGTTGGCTGTAAGGACTGGGAGGTACCACTTATTCTTGGGCCCCTGTTGCAGGTGGCTAGGTGGCATGGGTGGAGCCACCAGTCCTCAGGCCCTTGATGGGGGTAGGTGAAAACCCTGCTTAATGGGCAGAGCAGTGTCAAATGTCACGAACCTGCCACTTCACCATATATCTGATACAGTTGAAGTTAGGCTTCTGGTATATACCCTGTTGCACTGTGATAATGAGGGCCTACACTGTTGAAATGGGCCCACTCAGGTCTATGCAGGGGTGAAAGGTGTTCCAAGTCCATGGTCCCCGTATACCTGTGCCTTTGCAAAGGAGCTTTGCCTACACTGAGTTCCTGGCTTAGGGGAGCTGGCAGATTATTTTTTCCTGTTTGTTAGTTTGTTCCCTCTCCAAGGCCGGGAAGATGGCTCAGGGTGCGTGACGGGTTCCACTTCTGGCCTGGGGGACTCGGCAATCGCTGAAGCCAGCCCGGGACCCAGTGCAGAGCGGGAAATGGACAGGTGAATGGGAGAGAGGTTTTTCCAAAGAGAGTGTTTTTTGATCTGCGCAGTAGATCAGATGCATGTACTTTTCTTTTGCCGATTGAGCGCTGCTTTTCACTGGTTCTGGAGCCGTAGTAGTCTCTCCGCCACTGGGTCTCTCCCAATGTGAAAAATGCCTCCCGAGCGCCATACTTGCCTCACTGCACACACCAGCCGATCCAGCCTGAAGGGTGCCAGCTCCCGCCAGGTTAGGTCTGACAATTCCTTGCTGCTTCTGAACCATCTCTCCCTCCCCCTCCACTCAATCTGATTCCTCAACTTTGTCTTTGATGTTCAGACCTCCTAGATTGTCACATATAATCGATTCACTTGTTTTTTTGAGTCTTTGTTGTAAAAGGGACTACAGGAAGCATCTGACTAGTCTGCCATCTTGGTCCTGCAGCCTCATTTTTGTTGTTTTAAGCCACTAAGTCTGTCGTATTTGTTTGGTAGCCCCAGGAAACTCAGGTGAAATGTGGATGGGGGCACACGAAACCTCAGGATGGCATCAGTTACTCCACCCAAAGTATCACTGTACTCAAGAATAAGTAACAAAACCAATATTTTAATATTAAAGCAAACTGACAACATTAGGGAGAAGAAAGCATCATCTGAATTAATTTTGAGATAGAATTCCCGGTAGTGTGGCAGCTCCCAGCTACTGCACGCCCTTCAGAGAAGCCTGGCTTCAGAGCAGGCCACATCCAGCCAGGCATTCAGGCCTAGGACCCTGAGAGATAAGACTGGGAGTTGCCCTTGGAACCTTCCATGGAAATCACTGATAACGATGGAAATATGTCCCAGGGCCCATTGTCTGTCCAGGGATTTGTGTGTGTAACTGCCTGCTTCTGGCCCCAGCCTGCTCCATGCACTGGCTTGGAAGAAGGGGTGGACATATGGAGGGATTAGGCAGGGACTGGGTTATAGGGCAGTTGGGGAAGTGGAAGGAGTATAGGGTTCTGGTTTATCTAGATGAATAGGACCTATTCTGAAAGGTCCCTATAGACCAAGCATGTGCCCTCCCACATCCATGACCTAACCTTCATGGTGTGACCCTGACTCCCTTTACCAGCCCACCTACCACTTTCCTCTCTCCACCAATGTACTTGCAAACCGGCCACTCATTGGACTTCGGACCTTTCCCACACATGCCCCTCTCCAAGCCCTTGACTACCTTTTCCTCTGTTGTAGAAAGTCCATCGGTGCTTCAAGGAGGTCTAGTGCAAAATTCACTACCTTCTCCATTCCCTGCAACTCTTCCTCTCCATTGCCTGTGTGGTAGACAGAATAATAGCCACCAAACATATCATTGTCCTAATTCCCAGAACCTGTCAATGTTACCCTGTGTGGCAAAAGGGACTTTGCTAATGTGATTGCATTAGTTTCCTGTTGCTACTATAACAAATTACCAAAAGTTTAGTGGCTTAAAACAACACAGATTTATTCTGTTGTAGTTCTGGAGGCCAGAAGTCTAAAATGAGGCTTATGGGTGTAGGCGGGGTTGGTTCCTTCTGGAGGCTCCACGGGAGAATCTGGACTGTACCTCTTCAGACTTCTGGTAGCTGCTGGTATCACTTGGTTTGTGGCTATCACTCCAATTCCTGCTTCTGTTGTTACACCACCTTTTCCTTTTCTGTAGTCAAATCTCTCTCAGTCTCCCTTTTTTAAGGATACTTGTGATTACATTTAGGACCCACCTGGATAATCTAGGCGCCCTGGTGGTGCAGTTGTTAAGAGTTTGGCTGCTAACCAAAAGGTCGGCAGTTCAAATCTACTAGCCGCTCCTTGGAAACCCTATGGGGCAGTTCTACTCTGTTCTAGAGGGTTGCTATGAGTTAGAATCAACTCGATGGTAACGGGTTTGGTTTTGGGTTTTGGATAATCCAGGATCATCTCCCCATTTCAATATCCTTTATTTAATCACATCTGCAAAATAACCTTTTGTCATGTAAGGTACCATTCACAGGTTCTAGGGATTAGGATATAGACCTCTTTGGAGGCCATTATTCAGCCTACTATGGTGATTAAATTAAGGATCTTGGGATGGGAAGGTTAGCCTAAATTATCCAGGTGGGCCCAATGTAATCACAGGGGTCGTTAAGAAAGAGGCAGAAAGGTCAAAAGCAAAAAAGGAGATAAGATGATGGAAGCAGACACTGGAGTGATGTGCTTTGAAGATGGAGGAAAGGGCCATGAGCCAAGGGATACCGGCAACCTCTAGAAGCTGAAAAAGACAAGGAACTAGACTCTTTCCTGCATCCTCCAGAAAGAACACAGCCCTGCCAACACATTGATTTTAGCCCTGTAAGACTCATTTGAATTTCTGACCTCCAGAATTGTAAGAGAATCAGTTTGTGTTGTTTTAAGCAGGGCTTTGAACCATTTCATTCTGGTTCGTACCCCTGGTGAGAATTTGCCTTTCTAACAAGTTCCCAGACAATGCTAATACTGCTGGTTAAGGACCAGTTCTGAGAACCACTAGTAGAGCAGTGATTCTCAAATTTTATTATACATATGAATCGCCTGGAAATCGTGTTAAACTGTAGATTCTGATTCAGTTCATCTGGGGTGGAATGCAAATTCTCACCAGGGGTTTGAACCGGAAAGAACTTTTCAGTTAACAGCTGAGTGCAAACCGTTTGCATCACCCACAGCCCTATTTCCCTCCATGAGTACTTTTATTTCTAAGAGCATTAATTTATTGGATGAGTATTGGGGTGGGAGAAGGAATGAAAGAGGAGACCATAAGACCTTAGCGTGATATTTATCAGGAGTCAGTCAAATTAGGATATATTCAGTGGACATTTTATGTTAAAAAGTCCTGACTTTAGATGGTATTAATAATTCAACCATAGTAGTTTTTTTGTAGTCCCTGCGTAGCACAATTAAGTGCTCAGCTGCTGGCCAATGGGTTGGTAGTTCAAAGCCGCTGAGAGGAGCCCATAGGACAGAGCTGGCGATCTGCTTCCAAAGGGTCACGCCTTGAAAACCCTGTGGAGCAGTTCTACTCTGCACTCATGGGGTTGCCATGAGTCAGAACCAACTCGACAGCAACTAACAACAATTTCCTAACATTTCTTTGCTTTGGCTTGCATGCATTTTGGTCTCTGGCTTTCAAGCTCCAAATTTGTGAACATGCCTGGATTGGCAAAATTAATTTGCTTGTAAGCCACCAACATTGATATGCCCTAAAGATTTCTGCCTGAGTGATTTACTTCTGAAGAGTTTTTTTTTTCTTTAAATGAATGCTGAACTATAAAGCTGGAAAAAAAGTGCAGTTTTGGGTGACTGTTAAACACAATGTTGCTATCTGCCTAAGATCTTAAATTGATCTCCGAACAAAGTCAAATCCACTTTAAAAAAAAAGTTTTTTTATTATCCATAAGAATCACCTGGGGATTTGTTAAAATGTAGATTCCGATTCAGTATATCTGAGGTTGAAATGCTAGTTCTCAGCAGTGATTTGAAACTGGAATGAACTGGTTCAAAGCCCTGGTTTTAAGCCATTAAATTTTGGCAATTTGTTACAAAAGCCATAGGAAGCTGATACAACCCCTGATTGTATTAACCTTGCCCTTCTCTGTCATCTTGTTGCTTAAGGTCTCTTAGGCTTCTGTTACGGCACTTGATCAGTTTACTCCCTTTAGAGTCTCCCCAACTCGTTTGTGGGTTCCTCTGTAGCTTTCTCTGCTTTTATGAAGCTCCCCAAACCCCTAAAGCCTCATTCAGTGCCTTACACCTAGAAGATGTTTAATAAGTGCTTATCAAATGTAAGGAGCCCTGGTGGCTCAGTGGTTAAGAGCTCGGCTGCTTGCCTTTGAATCCACCAGCCACTCTTTGGAAACCCCCTACGGGGCAGTTCTTCTCTGTCCTATAGGGTCACTGTGAGTCAGAATTGACTTGATGGCAAAGGGTTTGGTTTTGGTTTCTCAAATGTAAATGAATTTTAATAGTGATGGTTGAACAACACAATGAATGTAATTAATGTCTCTAAGCCGTACAAGTGAAGATTATAGAGATGGCAAATGTTTTGTTACCTATTATACTGTACTTACCACAATAAAAAAATATAAATGAATCTGTGTCTTTATTTTTATTTACAGCAGTTGAGAGGAACAGACTTCTGATAGCAATAACTGCTGGTTTCTCCGGCCCCACTGCTTGAGAGCAGGACTGGAAGCTCCGTGGGCAGCAGAGTGCTGCTCAGAGCTGGGGCGGCCAGCAAGTGTGGCTGAAGCAGAGGGGTACTAGGCCTCCCACTGGGGCAAGAGGCAGCTCTGATCATTTGTGGCTTCCAGAAAGAGGCCCTCTAAATACCAAGGTAACCAGTTCCCAGCCAGAGGAGCAGTAGGCAGGGAGAGGATTCTCTGTTGGTTCCAGCTCTGGTCCGTTCTTGACACCTCTGTCCACCTGGGGTACTCTGGGGGGCTCTGCCCTGGAGAAGGCACTGGAGCTCTTACATCTGTAGAAGACTTCAGCTCAGAAAAGACTCAGCCCAGCTCCTACACTTTACAGCAGGAGACATGTTGGTCCAGAGAGTGGAAGTGACTTGCCCGAGGTCACACAACAAATTCGTGGGTCTCAAAACAAGCTCGAAGACTTCTAGTCCAGTGCCGCCTGTAGGAGACTGAGGATCTGGGTGCATGAGGCTGGCCTCCCTCCTGGCCTGCCTCCGAGTGACAGGACATCAGGGTGGGCTGGCCGGGAGTGGGGAGCAGACCCACCCTCACTTGAGATTGTGCTGGCTCTCGCGGTGCCGCCGCAGGTCCACCTTGCGCTGGAAACCCTTAGTGCACAGCTCACAGGTGAAGGGCTTGAAGCCTGTGTGCTTCCGGCTGTGGGTGATGAGGTTGGAGCTCTGGCTGAAGGCCTTCCCGCACACCTGGCACTTGTGTGGCTTCTCACCTGGCGGGCAACAAGGACAAGGTCAGGGCATCTATGGAAGGCAGGCTGCCCTTCTGCTCTGCCTTTGCTTTCTGAATCTTCATTATGTTTTATTTCATAACCAACTCACTTCAGAAAATAATTAGAAAAGGCAGGTAAGCAAAATAAAACTCAGACCCTCCTCTGCCCACATTGGATGACAAGCTCGGTTAGGCCAAGGACTGGATCTATCTTGCTTATCAATATATCCCAGCACCTGGCACAGGGCCAGGCACAAAAGAGGCACTTGGTAGATATCTGAGGAATAAATGATGAATGGAGGGAAAATTCACTGCTAGTCATTCCTACCTAGAGATAACCAGTGTTGACATTTTGGTGGGTTTCCTTCCAGTGTTTTTTCTAGGTATTGTTGTTGTTAGCTGTTCTTAAGTCGATTCTGACTCACGGCGACCCCATGTGTGCAGAATAGAACTGCTCCAAAGGGTTTTCAAGGCTGTGGCCTTCCGGAAGCAGATCGCAAGTCCTGTCTTTAGAGGCATCTCTGGGCAGGTTTGAACAGCCAACCTTTTGGCTGGTAGTTGAGCACTTAATTGTTTTGTACCACCCAGGGACTCTTTCTAGGCATTAAGTGTATTTAGGTAACCCAGTGCAGCCAGCCCTCCACCAGAGAGTGGCCATTCTGTTTGTCACCTGACCCTACTCCCATCCTAAAGCCAGGGGCCTTTGAACGTGTCTTTCATTAAAGACAGAGGTGCCCCCGAGGCCAGTGTGTTGACCTTGGCAGTGCTCAGGCCTGCTGGCTCTGTGTAGGCCTTGGGTGGGCTTGGCCTGGGGAGACGCTGGCCCTGGAAGGGGAGAGTGGGGCAGAGTGCTGGGCAGGCCAGGGGGCGGGCTCACCGGTGTGGATGTAGGTGTGCTTCTTCATGTCGGACTTCTGGTGGAAGCGCTTGCCGCAGAACTGGCAGGGGTAGGGCCGTGTGTCCGAGTGGATGAGCAGGTGAGTGGACAGGGTGGATGAGCGCTTGAAGGCTTTGCCACACATCTGGCACTCGAAGCTGCGCTCCTGCCGGAGGAAACGAGGTCCCAGGGGGTCAGGCGCAGGCGGGGCCTCGCCGCCCGGGAGTGCCAAGCTGAGTGCAGGACTGGACCTGGCCGGCGTCCCCTGAGGAACAGGAGACTCCGTTGGGGTGGCCTTGAGGACAGGGGCCTGGAGGAGAAAGGGCCCAGGGGTCCCCCATCCTGCCTTCCAGGAGGTACTGGGACTTGGGGCCTGACTGGTCTCCTATGGGGTTTTTCTTTGTAAATTTCACAGTATCCCATTCAAAATAAGTCCCAAAAAATGTTTGTTGAGTGACTGGTGGACTGACCTGGGAGGTTTTCCAAAGGATTTGCATCTTATGAAACTTAGATGTGAGTTCCTCGAGACAGGAATGGTTATGGGCACTGCAGTGATTTAGTTAAAAGTTCTAGTTATTGGAGCCCACTATTGGCCCCATTTAACCTCCCTGAGACTCATCAGGCATCAGGAAAGTGATAGCAATGACCTGAAGGGACTGTCGGGAGGACTGAAGTAGAGAACTGAGCTGGTGCCTGGCACCCGGTACGTGCTCTTGAGTGGAAGCTCTCCAGATATCTAGTCTGCTTTCCCTGCCTGCTCCAGGTGTTAGGGACCCATGTCAGTTTCAAGTAGTCTCCTTGGATGGAATACTAAGAAGAGAGCCCTGTCTCAGGTAAGGCTAAGTGGGATCAGATGAACATTTAAGTCTAACTCCAAGATTCTAAGAGGGCCTCAAAGCTGAGGGAACCTGCCTGGACCACCCAGTGGGTGGGATCATTTCTGAGCACCCCAGACATCTCGTTGCCCTTGAAATCTCAACCAGGGCAAAATCCTCTTCCAATTGGACATGAAGCTGACTCTTATCAATCAGGGACCAAAATGTGTTAAGGGTGGGTGTTTGGAGACTCAGACCAGGGGAGGTGGGCAGTATGTCACCCTCAGGAACAGACAAGAGACCCACCCCCTAGACTTCCTGAGGGAAGCACAGGGTGGGAAATGGGGCCCTGTGCTTGGCCAGCTGCCCACCTGGGAGTGGATGTGTGTGTGCTGCTCCAGGCTCACAGCATGGCCGAAGGTTTTGCCACAGATGTCACAGGCGAAGGGCCGGGTCCCACTGTGGGAGCGGCGGACATGAACCTCAAGCCCATGGGGGGTAGAGAACACCTGGGGGCAAGGGCAGAGCATGAAACCACTGGGGGCTGCAGAGAGGGAGACAGGCCTGGGGTCCCATGACCACACCCACCGCCTTCATCTCCATGCCCGGCTGCAGCACAGGTTGTCAGTTCTGTTGCTGCTATGTGTCTTGGGCAGGTCCCTTTCCATCTCCGTGGTTTGATTTCCTGTCTGGAAAATGGGGGCTGGGAGGGGGGATCTGGAAGGCCCCTTCTAGCCCCATCCAGAGGCTAAATAGCCTCAGGGGTTAAAAGCCAGGAGTTGGCCAGAGCTACGTTTGAATGCTGGTTCTGATATCTACTTGCTGTGTGATCTTGGGCAAGTGACTCAACCTCTCAGAGCCTTAGCCCTTCATCCATACACTGGAGCTAACAAAGCCTACTTCCCAGGGCTCATGGGGTCCCGCACATCAAGTACTTAGCATAGGGCCAAGCACATGGTTAGGGCTCAATAAATGGTGATGAGGATGAACATTCTAAATCCTTAATCCCTTCCTCCCCCAGGACTCCCAAGGTCCACAGCACAGGTAACACCCTGGCAGGAGAGGAGATGCTGGGCAGGTCCTGCATGCCCAGCTGCTCCCCGGGCTGCTCACCTTGTTGCACTTGAGGCAGTGGTATGTGTCCATGCCTGGGGAGTAGCGGAGGCTGAAGTCCAAGGGGGGCTCGGCATTGGGCATCAGTGGGCTACCATACAGGCTGACGGAGCGCTCCAGGAAGGCAGACTGCATGGTAGAGGCGGCCTGCCGGTAGCTATGGCCATAGGATGACGCCAGGGCATCCCAGGAGAAGCTGGGCTTGTAGAATGGGGGTGAGTCAGAGGGTGGCGAGTCACCGTCCTGAGCTCGTGACATCACAACAGGGCCCTCTGTGGACAGAGGGGCACATTCCAGGTAAGCCTAGACCTCCCGAGCATGGTTCTGCCTGGGGAGAGGCTGCAGGGTTGGGGAGAGGCTGCAGGGTTGCGGAGACTGTGGTCTGTCCTTGGCTTCTCCACTAGCCAGCTGGGTGAGCTTGGGCATGGAGTTCCCCTTTCTGAGACTCAGTTTCCTCTTCTGTAAACTGGGGGAAGATAACACTACCTGGCTCGCAGGTGAGGATTCGATAAGATAATGTTTATAAATGTTCAGCACAGTGCTTGGAACTCAAGAAACACCTACTATCTATTGGCTGTGATGCCAGGAGTGGTGAGGGAGGTGAGGATGGTGAAGTGGTGAGGTGAGGGAGGTGGGGGTGAGGGTAGTGAAGGAGGTGAGAGTGGTGAGAATAATGATGATGGTGAGGGAGATGAGGATGGTGTGGAGGAAGAGAAAAATGATGATGATGGTGCTGGGCTGTGAGAAGGAAGCCCGGTAGCAAATGTTGTCATTGTCCCACTTGTATCTACCCTGCACTAACATTTCCTTGCACACCAGATTATTTTCTTTGTCTGTTCTGCTTTTGCACAGGGCAGCAGGAAATGCCAGGAAACCAAAAATCCAAACTAAGACACCCGCTCCCGACCTGCCTCCGCTTAGCTACCTCACACTTAGGGTTTTGGTGTATAACCCAAAGTATTAGGGGAACTGCTGTGTCCTCATTGTGGCTCCTCAGTTTTTCCAGTCCAGAGATGCTCCCCCTCAGGAGTGCCCACCTCAACCACTGTGTCAAACTGCCCAGCTGCTGTCTGCTGACCCACCTACTCCCACCTACACAGGGACGCTCATAAGGGAATGAGTTCCCCAGCCAGGAGGGGTTCAAGCAGAAGCTAGACAGCCAGATTGCATGCAGATAACCTTGTTGGTCTTTCCTCAGACTCCATGACTCGGAGGCCTCCTGCTTTCAGGAGTCCCTCCCCACACCATGCCCCTTGGCACAGCACCCCCTTAGCTGGGTACCTGGTGCTGAGGCCATCCTGGTCAGGCTCCGGTCCAGCTCCGGCTTGGGCTCCCGTTTGAGGCTGGTCCAATCCAGACACTGGTTTGTGAACAGGGTGCTGAGGACAGGGCCATTGCTCAGGACCTGGTCCCCAGCCACTGTGGAAAGACAAGACCATTGGAGTCAGAAGAGATGGGTGCATTCATTCATTCACTCACTCTTTTCATTCATCCATTCATTTAACCAACATTTATCAAGCTCCTCCTGCATTCCAGACTTGGAAGAGGGAGCTACTTTGGATGCATCCCTCATTGTGTAGGGCAGGGCACCCTGGGTGGGTGCAGTGGGAGGCCAGCCTGGGCTCTGACTCACCAGGGGTCAGGGCAGGAGGCCAGGCCAGCTCATCCTCCTGGATGTGGGGCTGGTGGTAGGTGTGAGCCTTCTTACTCTTCACCAGGAAGGAGCGTGGCATTCTCAGCGTGCACCCCACACCTGCCAGGGCAGAGGGGTGAGAAAGGTTAGGAGAGACAAGAGGACTTGCTCCTCCATATTTTGGCACCACCTTCTGAAATCAAACACCCACCCGCTACAAAATGCCAGTATAGGCCTGCTCGAGTTGGCACTGGCAATACAGAAGGAAGGGCAGGAACGTCCCTGGATTCGACACACTGTGGACCCTGAATCTAGGTGGAGTCCATATTTGAGATCTGGTAGAGTCCATATTCAGAGGCCATAGAAAGAGGTGGCCTGAGCTTATGTTTTGGAGTCAGATGCTTGGTTTAGAATTCCCTCTCACCTGCTGTGCAATTTGGGGTGAACACTTAACCTCTCTGGGCCTATTCTTTTTTTTTGTAAGGTGGGCCTAAGCATGAGGCCACCATTGCCAGGCTCAGGTGTATTCGGTGCCTATCACTGGAGGCACTGGCAGGCAGCGGCCTGCAGCAAGCAAGCCACCTTCAGTCAGAAATCCACGTTATTGGGTAAGTTGGGAGCTGCTACAGTTAGAGGAGGGCTGCACCTCATCCACGTCCCAGCCTAGTGTCTGGTCCCCAGAGAGGGGCCTTCTTTCTCTCTGGGGGGTTTGGTGGATTGGAGTTGTGTGCGGGACTCAAGGCACAAGAGGAACTCCCCCCACCTGGAGGCCTAAAGCTTTGTTGTGGACATGGAGGAAGAGGCCCCCAAACTCCAGGGGCCGAGCAGTAGGCCACCCAGCCCCGCCTTGTCATTGAACCCACTCATCAGGGAGGTGGAAGAAGGAAACCAAGGACCAAATTGGGGAAGGGACCTGCCCTTGTTGCCCTGGGGTGGGGGTGGGAGGGAGTGGCAGGGCTGGACCATCCTGACCACACCGGGGCTCCTGGATTTCTGGGCAGAACCCTCTGTGCCCTGACGGTGAGGCTCTCCTAAGGGCACCTGGGAGGCAAAGCACATCTTTGGGTTTTTCCACATGGTCTCCACCCCCATGCTGAGCACAGGCTGGCCCCATTCCCCAGGCCTCTCAGCACCCCCCTCCCCACACCCGCCCCGCTTCAGATGCCGCCACAAAGGGCTGCAGGGGCGATAGCGCCAAGCGCGGGAAAGGGATTTGGCTGCTTCTGACCAACATCGAGGGCCTGGGCGATAAGGCCTCGGCTGAGGAGCGGGGTGGGAGGTCGGAGATTAGAGAGCGCAGCTTGGAGCTCTGCTTTCGGGGCAGGTGGACTGGTCCTTTTCCTGGGAGGATGACCCAGAGTACAGCAGAAGAGGGACTCCCCCAGAGGGTCTGCCCGTACCCCCTCGCCAGAGCCCTCTGAGGGCATCCAGAGTTTGGGCTGTGGCAGCGCCACTCAAGGTGTCACTCCCAGGCCCACCCCCTCCTGGCTGTAGGTCTTGTCAATGAAGGGCTTGTAGCCTCAGTGTCTGGATCTGCTAAATGAGGATCACGATCCAACCTCATGGGATTGCTGAGAGCAAGAAATGACCTTCGTTTGTTACAAACAGATGTGTAAAGTGCTCAGCCCAGTGCCTGGGCTGAAGTAAGTGCCCAGCCAAGGGTGGTATCTTTGCTCACTGAACGGAAGCTTCTTGGGGGGCAGGCCCTGTGCAGTGTTTCTGCCTCATCCCCAGCACCTGACCTATAGTCCAAAAAACCAATTGCCATCAAGTCAGCTCTGACTCATGGCGACCCTATGTGTGTCAGAGTAGAACTGTGCCCCACAGGGTCTTCAATGGCTGACTTTTCTTTCAAAAGGAGATTGCCAGCCCTTTCTTCCGAGAGGCCTCTGGGTGGACTTGAACCTCCAACCTTTTGGTTAGCAGCTGGGCACGTTAAGAATTTGTACCAAAAAGACAGTGGATGAGTCAGCCCTGGATGAAGGAAGATGCTTTAGGGTGGCAATGAGCCCTAGACCAGTGTCAGAAGACCTGGTCCCAAGCCACAGCGGTCCCCGAGGACTTCCCTCTCTCGGCCCTAAAACGAAAGGGTGGGGCTCGAAGGCTTCTGAGGTCTCTTCCAGCTGTCAGATTCTCAGCTCTCGGAACAAAAAAGTGGCTTGGGGCTGCTGTCGCCTGCCCTCCCCCCTCCTCGGTCTTGCTAGGAGCCTTATCTCCCAAGGACACGTCTTCCTCCTTCTGCTCCTCCCCCTCCTCTACCAGGGCTCCCAACACCCCCCTTCCTTCCCCCTTCTAACTCTTCACTTCAGGAAACCCCCTGGGGAGGCCAGACCCTGGGTGGAGCAGGAGGGGAGCCCCATGAGCTAGGGGCTAGGTTCCCCTCACCCTCTGTTTCTGCAGCGGCCTTGGAGGGCTGTGATCTGTCTCTCAATCAAAAGATAATCTTTTTTTTTAACACATAACATTTTATTAGTAAAGCAACCAGCACCAAAGCTAAATGTTTAAGCTGATACAACAGAACACCAGGAAACACTTCTTACAGCCAGGATCTACTTAGCCTCAGTTCCTTTACTCCATGAGGTGAGTCCCGCTGTTGCCCCATTTTATAGAAGAGGCACTGAGGCTTAGAGACCTCAAATGATCCCGGGCAGAGCTAGGTGAACCAGGACGCCAAGCTCATAACCGTCAGACCAAAGGGTGGGCATTTATTCAGTGCAGACTGTGTGCCAGGTGCTGGGCAGTGCCCTTCACAGGCATTTTCTCAGCAAGGGAACTGACAGGCTAAGGAGGAAAGCAGGACAGTGTTTCAAGTCCTCTGGTGTACATTATATTATTGAACTCAACACCAGGGCAAGGGATTCAGGGATTGTCCTTCCAGGTCACAGGCGGGAAAACTGAGGCTTAGAGAGGAAAGTGACTATTCCAAGGCTCCACCGCAGCGGAGTATCTTTGACTCCTAGCCCAGTGCTCTACCCATTACCATCTGTCGTGCTGTCAATCCCCAGTGAACACAGCCTAGAGCAGGAAGGGTAAGGATAGTTGCTGGAGCAACAGGGTGGGAAAATCAAATTCCTTGCTCTTCAAGTCTTTTCAGCACCCAAAGGCCCCATATCCATTCCTGAAGAGTTGCAGGTGGAGACGCAGGTGAGAGAATGGGTTTCGGAAAGTGTTGGTCTTCCCTTAGACTCAGAACTGGAGGAGACCCTGGAGGTCAAGTGATTTGAAATCGAGACAAGCCCAACAGTAACCCGCTAGTGTTCACTGAACACAGGCTGAGCACTCTGTAGAGGGGAGCAAGGGGTCCAGTCCCTGGTGCCCCAGCTGAAGGAAGGTGATTCTTGGGGCCTAGTGTAGTGATCTCCCCAAACCCTGAATCCGCTCTTCCTTCCTTCCCCAGGGTGTTATCTCTGCTAAGCCTGACAAAGTGACAGTGGCTCAGCCAACCCCATGGCCAAGCCCTTAAGCTTACAGTGAGGGCCAAATATACCCAATGAACTTCCTTTTGGACCCTGTTAACTTAAAAAAAAAAAAGGAACCAATCACCTGTATTATAGTTAATTAACAACCACTCCATTTTGATTCACATGAGAAAGAGCTAAGAGCAGAGATTGTGAAAGAAGCCTAAGATTTCTTCATAAAACTGAGGCCTTGATGGTATCCGGCCTCCGGAAAGAGGGCCGCTGTTAACATCTCTTCATAAACCCCCAATCCTGATAAAGGGTCCCCTGACCCTGAGTCAGAATCTCAGTTGGTGCTTTGAGGGGGGCAGCCCTGCATGCCAGGCAGGGTCGCACACCCCAACTTCCAGGTTGAGCCAGATAAACAGGCCTGTGATTTGTCTGCTCCCAGGGGGTTGAGTCTGATTTTGTGACCTTGAGCTTGACCACTTCAGCCACCAACCTGAGGCTTGGTTTTCCTATCTCTCAAAAGGGACGGTTGGACTAAGAGATTTCTAAACTTCCCCTTTGCTCTAAAATCCCGTGTACAATTCGTTAACCTTCAGTGAAAGACTGACCCACCTTGACTAAGAAGCTCATTGCTTGGGGTTCCCTTTTCGGGAGGGTTGGGTAAGACTCAGTCATTTCTCAGGGTCAGCTGCAGAGGACCCTTCTGACTTCCTTTATGCTTAGAGATACTACTCAAGAAAAAGAAAAAGAAACTTTTCCATGTAGGACTCAAGTGGGGCGGGGGGGAGCTGAGCCCCAGTCACTTTAGGGGGCCCAGTAGGGAGCTGTCATTATTTTTATTTGAAATTTGGAAGGAGTTTTTCAAACGTCTCCTAGGTACTGAGAATGCAATGTCAAAAATGAGTGGATGAAACACTTCCTAAGCCCCTCCATATTAGAGGTTAAAGCGGCTCCCATTGGTTCAGACTCTCGGAAACCAAAGAACACAAAGCCTCCCTCTGGACTAAAGTGGGAATCCCTAGGTGGCACAAATGGCTAACATGCTCAGCTAGTAACCGAAAGGTTGGCATTTCAAGTCCACCCAGAGACTTCTCAGAAGAAAGTCCCCGCGATCTACTTCTGAAAAAGCAGCCATTGAAAGCCCTCTGGAGCACAGTTCTATTCTGACACCCATGTGGTCACTACGAGTTGGAATCAACTCAATGGCAATTGGTTTTTAGACTTAAAGTGGGGGTAGAGTTTTCAGGGTATTCTCCTGTGAATGGTCTGGCCACAGAGCCTCCCGGAGTCCTTGAGCTCTCCAACAGGACCCCCACCCCACCCCACTCCAACCCTCCTGAAAGCTTGGGGAAAATGGTCTGCACTGGTTTTAAGTGACTCCATCAATCAAACTTGAAGCAGGTATAGCTCTCTGAAGTTCCCCAAGAGTGTTTTAAAAGAATTTCTGCCAGGAAACCAGCATCCAGACCCCAAAATCTAAGAGTTGGAAGAGACGTCACAAATCTCTGAAGAATTCCTTCTGCAACACTTTTGAGGACAAGAAACTTGCCACTTCGCTAGACTCTGAAATAGTCTACTTGTGGCCTGCTACAAACTATCTAGGCATGAGCCCAGGTAGCTAATTGCAGCTAGGCCAGAACCCACACCCAGAGACTGTAAATTCAATAACCTCCAAGAACCTGGTGAAAGCTGTGGATTT